TGTAAAAAATATTTTTGATTTTAGTTTTCGTACGAATTTACTTTAACATTAAACAAAATAAAATAGGTTTTCTGGTTTATGGTTGCTGCAACTGTATCGTCGTCTGTCTTCTGCTAGCCGTCAGTTTTTGTTTATGTTGTCGTTGGTTACCATTAATGAATTTTGGTTACTTTGTGGTGCCTCTAACGCTCTTTTTATTGATTGCCATCCAATTTGCCTCAATGGCGTCGCCTAAACTCCTGAGTCTTGAATTCGAGGTGTATGGACGTGTTCAAGGTTTGTTTTCTGAATAAGATACTGTTTATTACTACAGAGGTAGAGGTTATAGAAGTTTCTGGCATTATATTGTCGGAAAATATAATTCATATTTCTCATTACAATGTGGCCCACTAATTCTTGACATTAAACTCTTTTCTCAGGTGTTTTCTTCCGAAAGGTGAGTCAAAGAAGTATTTCATATTTGAGTATAACTGACCAAGGGTGTTTTTCTTTACGCAACACAGTAAATGAAACTATATTTAGAAATAACTATTGAAGAAATCCAAATCATCTGTCTTTTTCAGTACACCCAAAAGCAGGGTAAGGAGCTGGGTTTACGTGGTTGGTGTATGAACACACCCAAAGGCACAGTTTTAGGACAGCTTGAAGGGGAAGTCCAGCAAGTTGAAAAAATGTATGTATGTACTACTTTACTGTACCGTACCTCATTCTTTTATCAAAGATTTCAAACACAAACTTTTTATAACAGGAAATATTGGTTGCAACGGACTGGTAGCCCTGAATCAAGTATTGACAAGGCCGAATTTAGAAACGTTAAAGAGATTGAATCATATACTTTTACCTCGTTTGAAATTCGGCGTTGATTTTGCTTGATTATTATCTTTTCCCTGCAATTGTGATATACATAGACTTTACCAAATTACAACATTGCGTATTTTATTCCCTATTGTCTCATCTCAACTGTACAAGACACCAAAAAAGGATAATTCTACAAGAAAATTAATTTTTATTGGCTGATGAAGTACGTCTGTTTTTTGCATTCTTATTTCAGGAAATCTTGGCTTCAGAAAACTGGAAGCCCCAAATCAAGAATTGACAAAGTGGATTTCAAATTTGAGAAACCAATTTCAGATTTTACGTTTATAGATTTTTCTGTGCGTCGATGATACCAGCCCCTCTTCCTGTGCTATTTTGTTTTATTTATTTTGCCTTCTACTCCAAAGTAAACAAAATATTATTGCACAATTTCGATCTATAAATTATACCTAAGTTCACATTTAAGACTGAAAACCTGACTGACCCTTCTTGTATTTATTTAATTCAACTAAATTATCCTTTCCATCTTTGTCTTTCATCATTTCTCTGTACTTGTTTTATATGACACAGTTCCATTCTAAGTATCAATTCCAGTATATTCTGTCACCAAACATTTCCTATGTCTTGTCGTTTCCTGAATTAAAAATAAAAGGGTGAAACAAGGAATTTAGAAATTTTCTGAACCCTACCATTGAAATTAGACCAACAGACTACGTCCTCGGCCTCGCCGCGCTCTGACTTTCATGCTCCACGCTCCTCGGGTTAGGCAACCCATCGCACACGTGTGGCCACCGCTGTGCCTACGACGGCTGTGCTCTCCAGCTCCCCACCCAAGCACTCTATCACGGGCTAGCTAGCGCTCTGTCGGGCCTGGTTTACGGCGTCCCAAAATGAAAATTCGAGCGCGACTTTATGGTACACAATCTTGGATTCGTACCGAACGCAGCTGGTGCAAACAAGTCACGCCGTTCGGTCCAAGTCCGAGATATGGAACCATACCCAAGTCATGCTAAAACTTTCATTTTGTGTGGGACACCCTTCCTAGCCAGGGTGCTCCACCGCGCTCAATTTAAACACTCGCGCCACACCGCGGCGGCCCGCCGGTTACCTATGGGCGGGTAACAACGAGAGCGACGAGGACAAACAAACGCCCCCGCCCGTCCGGCCCGCACGCGTGGCAGGCAGTTGTCTCATTATGAAAAGAAGACACATGTGTTCGCGGCAGATGTGGCATGGATTCGCTCCTCGGCCTGTTCGTGTCAGACTGCAGTCTCGCCGATAGACAGAGTTACACCGCACTCTACAGCAAACCGGAAATGTCGACGGACGAGTCCTTCCCCGGTGGCGGCGTCGCCGTCCCCATCGACCCCACGCACAAGGAGCCTGCGGCGCCGGAACCGGTGAGTCTTTTTGGACGTCCAGATCCGCGGTTAGTTAACACGACCCACTCGGTCAAGAAAGAGACTTTGCCGACGCGCCCCCGCCTGCTCCTAGCAGGCGACGATCTTTGACCCGAACTGGAAGTGGACTAACGGCACGCGGTTCTCGAGCTAAGCACTCCTCGGCCGTTGCCTCCCGAGTAGGCTCTACCTCAGAGGCCTTGGCTTCGATTTGATCAATCAGCTGCCTAGATGCCTCTGCCGTGCCACGGCCTTGCCAGGCCGGCGAGCTTCTAGCGAGCCGGCTTTGCTGCTAGGCGCCCCACCGAGCTCGCGCGTAAGTTGGGTTGCCTACCCAGACCAGGACAGGAGCTTGACCAAAGCCGCCCTGGTCCGACCCTTTCGCGGCCCCTCTGGAGTTACCACACGGTGAGGGAATGGGGGGGGCAGGAGAGATCCTGGAGGAGAGAGGGGAGGGGCACTATGAGCTAACGGTGAGCAGGGGGAGGGGAGGGGACGGAGGGGAGCAGACGCTCTCCAGTGCGCGGCGGCACGCGAGGCAGCCGTGTCGCAGTTATTCATGTTTCAAAAGGCACTCGGCGGCACTTATCATTCGCGAAAAAGGGACGACAGCGAGGACGGGCGGTCGACTCGACGGGCAGACGGGACTCCCCCCCCCCCCCCCCTCCTCTAGCCCGGGTCCCGGGGATAAGCTGTCGTGACACTCGAGCGGACTCGTTGCGCTGGTCCGGGTCGGACGTTCCTCCTCCGCGGCGGGCTGGCGGGGCGCGGGCCCCGGGCGAGTTGCGCCCCCGAACCCTTTTGACGGACCGGGCCGGGCATATGAGTCCCAGTCACTTGAAGAGAACGCATAGCGCGTCGTGCGGATCTAAGTGCTGCGTGAGTGCCTCGTGACGTGGCGCTATCGCCCCCGCCCCCCTCCTTTTCTTCCCCCGGGTCCCTTGGTCCCTGGCCCCACCGCCCCCGTCCCGGCTGCAGATACGTTTTTAATGCTCCCGGCTGGCCCTATCAATGGATCTCCGCTGAAGTGTAGCGTACCTCCATCACTGTCTCCAGCCGGCCGGCCCGGCCCGGGGCTCCAGCGGGGACGACATTAGACCAGAGGACGGCAACCCCGCGCCTGACGTCTTTTAATCAAGCCTTAATTAAGAGGGGCATCGCAGACTTAGCCCGACTTTAATTCTGTCATTTCGCGTATGGTAATTATTCAATGTCATTTCCGCCCCTCTGCTTTGCCCCCCCCTCCTCATCTGCGGGTCGGGGAGTTTCGCAGGGGGTCGCGCTATACGGCGTTGTCACTTCTTTTTATTTTGTTTGTTGCCCTTCTGCCGGTCCCATTTTGCTTCGTCGCAATCCAACAAGAAAATGCGAGTGATGCACCCGAAAAAAAATATGCGACATAACAAGTGTGGAACGAGGCGCGTCGTCGTCGGGCAGGGAGGCTGGAGCGAGCGGGTCATGTCGTGGATAAGTGCGGCGTTTATCTGAGCGCGGGGGTTTTGAATTTCATTATTCCGGCGGCAGAGCCGGAAGGCGAAGACGAGGGGCTCCTCCGGGCCGGACCGGCCGACCGGAAAATGCTTTACTTCTTTCCCACTCCGCGCTGTGTTTCAGTTCCCTCGGCTGTATCCCGGCCCCTCCCGCCCGCACCATGATGGCCGCAGGGCGCCGCTGTGTTCTGCCGCTGCTGCTGCTCGTGCTCGTGCTCACGCTCGTCGCCTCCGGGAGAGTCAAGAGGCAGAACAACCTGTACTCGGTCGCAGACTTCATCGGGTGAGTGAGGACGCACGTCTGCGAGGAGGCTGAGCAAGATCGTCACCACCCGCAGCCCGCAGCACAGAGCCCCCGGAGGGGTGGGCGCCGGGCGGGTAGGCAGCCCGCCCACGCCCGGGCATTGCGGCACAGGCTAAGTGGGCGGGGTTCTGCCACCCGTCCCCCGTCCCGGGCGCGCACCCAGAAAAAAGATTTCTTAGACCAAGCCAAATTGGCTTGAAATAAGAAAATTTCCACCTCGGCTGAACCAAACCCAAAAAAGCGTCCGATCAAGAAAAACCTAGGCTTCATTTACTTGGATTGGATCAAAACGAACACTGCTTGATTCAAGGCAAATTTATATTGCAAGCCAAGAATAAAAATTCTCACTTCAAGAAATTCGGCTTGATTCTGGCATATATTATTTCTAACCAAATATTTACGCTGTTCGTTCGGGCGACAGAGCTGCGCTTGGTTTTCCACAGATTTTTTTCTAGAATACTTAGGCATTGGTAAGGCATTCTTAATCCAAGAATATTTTCTTGGTTTACGCAAGAATGCCATCGGCTTGTTCTCATACGGTGCGCAGAGCAGCACGAGAGTCAAAAAGTCGGTAGGGGGCCGACCGGACTCGAACCCATGCCCCGTCGGTCCGAGCCAGCGCCTCAGCCCACTGAGCTATCGCTTCGACGACGGAGCGCGCCAGTCCAGCGCACTGTTGGTAGTGGCAGCTGGACTGTGTCCGAATCATCCGAATCAGGTCGGCAGAGAGCGGCGGTCCCGTCACCTGTCGTGGGCTGGATAGTGAGCCGGGTCCGGCAGGGGTTCGATCCCAGGCCGGAGCGCAACCAGTTTCTCCAAATCAGTGCCTCTGTAGTTGTGAATGGCCTGAGAGGGGATGGACTAAGTTTCTGGAAACTTGGGAAAGAGAGACAACTGAGTTACCGTTTTGTCAGAAAATATAATTCCCGATAATTCCACAACGCCTAGAAGTGATCGAGAGAGAGGGAGCGGAGGAGTCCGATTCGGGTCGGGTCCCAGCCGAAGCGATCCTGAGAACGTGCACCACGTACACGAACACGGCGGGCGGGAAAACGTGGGTTTGGCTTCAACCAAGACTAGCCGATGCTTGCGGTACGCCTAGCTTGAATCTAGACAGGGATTCTTGTTGTGAGCTAAAAACGTCTTGATTCAAACTGTACACAATTCAAGCACTCGGCTAGGCTTAATTCAAGAATTCATTTTTCTGGGTGCGAAACGTTTCGGCGATTTTTGTAATAGGCATCTTTATTACGGCATGTTTCAGTCAGCTCGGACAGTTGGCGGCTCAATCTCAGGGCCAGGGCGGCGGCGGGGCGCCCTCCAACTACCTCACGGGGCTGCTGCAGGGCTTCCAACAGTCGACCCAGTCCGGCGCCGGCTACCCGCAGGGCTTTCCCCAGCGGCCCGTCCGACCCGTCCCTCCCGAGTACCTCCAGGACCTACAGTACCAGGGACAGTACCCTGGGCAATACCTGGGGCAGTACCCGGGTCAGTACCCGGGTCAGTACCCGGGGCAGTACCCGGGGCAGTACGCCGGGCAGAACCAAGGGCAAGGTACCCTTGGCTTCGATCCTGCTAACGGAGGTAAACCGCTCTTGATGTATAGTTGTCGAGGTGGCTGGTGACCCCCGTGTGGTTTCGCTGCAGCCTGCTCTTCTTGTTCTAGGGTACGGGTACCGGCCGGGCTTTGGCGGCGGTGGCGCCGGGGGCGGCGTGCTCGGCGGCGCTGGCGGCGTGCTCGGCGGTGCTGGCGGCGCCGGCGGCCTGCTCGGCGGCGTGCTCAGCAGCCTGACCGGCCTCGGCACGCGGCCCCCACCTGGCCCCGGGGGCGGCGTGCCCCTGGCCGCGGCCCTGCAGTCCGTGGCCCAGTACGACGATGCGCAGTGCGTGCCGCGGCTGCTGTGCGAGCTGACGGCGGGCGGGCGGCCCGGCGGCCGGCAGGGCGAGCAGGCGCTGCCCTTCGTCAACCGGGACACGCTCGTGTCGCTGCTCACGGTGCTCAACTTCGGCTCCAGCTCGCCGCTGCTCGTGTTCGGCCGCGCCGCGCTCCTCGGCTACACCGCGCAGGGCGACCCCGCGTCGTGCTTCAGCGCGTACCCGGCCTGCCCCCGCGACCCCGACCGCCTTGTCGACTACCTCAACAACTACAACGGCGGCTTTTTCCGGTTCTTCACCGGCGTGGGCAGCGCGCAGTACCAGCAGCAGCAGCAGCAGCAGTACTACAGGCCGGGGTACCGCCCGGGCGCGGGCGGGTACGCGCCCCAGTACCGCGACTACGCCCCCTCCTCCAACAAGCCCGTCGTGTTCCCGCGCGCCGAGAGCCGCATCCTCACGAAGCTGCACCCCGCCGAGGCCGCGGAGCAGCCCCAGCACTTCCTCCCCACGCCCCGCCCCGCCTACCAGCGGGAGCAGAAGTACCACAACTACAACTCTCCCGCGTTCCAGCAAAACAGTTACGCCGCGGCGCCGGCCGGCATCGGGCCCAACGAGGTGGTGTACGCCAACGGGCGCTTCATACCCGCGAGCACGTACTTCGGCGGCGTCGGGGCGGTCAACACGGAGCGGCCCTACTACACGCCCTACATCCCCAGCATCCCGCTGAGGAAGCCCGTGGCGCCGGTCGACATCTACCCGACGCGGACCGGCACCGGGGACCTCCGGCTGGACCCGGACGACCACCTCAGGCTGTCCGCGGGCCGGCCGCAGGGGAGGCCCTTCACCTTCCGCGAGGACGCCGACCAGGTCCGCGACCAGCCCGAGCTGCACGGTGGCGGCGGCGGGGTGCGGGGCGGGCAGCGCCAGGGCCACGGGCTGCGCTTCCCCAACCAAGACCAGTTCTGAGGGACCGACTGTGTGTGTATTTATTTGTTGTTATGTATCGGTGGAGTTAGTCATCCAGCAGGTGAGTCATGTCGCGTCATGACTCATGCAGTCATTGTACCTCCTTATGATAATTACCGCTAGACGGCCATAGTCAGAATGATAATACGAATAATTAATCGTAAGAGTCTCTGTAAAACAAACACTCTTCTGGACGGAGCCCGTCTTTCGCCGGTCTTCCGGTCGTAGCTTCTGTGAAGCAACCATATAATGTAATGAACTCTTGTTTGCTCTTTTTTTTTATTATTCTTTCTGTTAAGTTTGGGAAATAAACCCGGTGTTTATAGCCACGCGTTCCTCCCCTTCTTTCCCCCCTTCGTGATCTCGACGCGACGAATTCCTGGGGTAATATTCTATTCGCACGAGCAGACCGGAGCGCGAGGTGGGGCACGGGGCAGTGTGGGG